CCAAAACAAAGACCTATGATCTCTGGATTTTCTTTAGTTAGAAACTTTCCAACTTGGCTCAAACCAGCACAGAGCCTTTATGTCCTGCTCCTCCTCTCCCCAGTGGATCAGATAAGGTGAGTGTTTCCCTTCACACTATCCCGGAGGGTAAAGGGTCTCTTCATTGGTCCTGTGTGTTCCTTTTACCAGATCACAACTGACTTAAATGACTGACAAGGGCACCCTTCAAAAAATAAAGAAGGAGAATAAATGTCCCCAAAAGAAAACCTGCTTCCTGAGGGATCTGTAGGCAAATGTGAGGAGGAACAATTCCCATTCAGTTTTGCTTCAACAGTGTGGGTCTGATGTCTTCAGGTATCACTCTGTAGGTATAAGAAATGCTCCGGACACTGGGCATTCTGCAGGCCTCTCCCATCTGTATTTATTCTTACTTATTCGGTCTACCTTTCTATTGTGTTAAAATGATTTCCTCCATTCCCCAAGTAAATATGTCTGACTGTGACGATTTGCTATTTTGTCCGAAGTGGAAAGTGGCAATTTTGAAATTCACCTGAAGAGGAAAGGTCCATGCGTCATGGTATCTGGTAAAGCTTGGATTCTGTGGTGCTTATGGGCAGAGGGGCAGAATCATAAGATGAAAAGTGCTCACTGGGAGTGGGCAATTGGGTTCTGTGCTCTCCCACTCACCGGAAGACCCTCTCCTGGCAGGCTATACACAAAGTATCAGTGCTCTCTTAGGAGCAGAAAGGCATTTCTTGTCACCTATTGGTACACCCTTTTGTCAGGCTTACTAGGGACCCTCCTGACCTCTTCCCCGCATGGGTCTTCAACTTGGCACAGTCTATACCATCCCCAGGATATAAGCTGCTTAAGACAGCATTGTCTTTTTTCAAATCTATCCAGGATCAAACAGCAACAACTACTGAAACGTAACTCTTAGGAAGGCTACTATATATGGGACACTTCTGGTAATCATGTATTAAATTATTCCAAAAGAGAAAGGATCCTGGGATGTAAACCATAGGGTGGATTGAGAGCTGCCGGGATTCCCTGACGGAAGAGCCATGATGCATCATTGCTGGGACACTGTTGATGAACTGACCCCAGTTCCCTGCTGTCCCTGCCTAGCCCTGGTCCCCTTGCTCATCTCCTCTAAGGAGTCCTGTTAGCTGGCTAGCAAGAGAAAGCTGAGATCTAAGGGAACATCAGAGACACTCACCAGCATGTAAGACTGTTCTTCTCCACCCTGCAAGGGACAGACAGAGGCAAATGTCATGAGATGTTGCTAACTGAGCAGAACTCAAATTGTATATGGAGTAGTTCAGGAAAGGCTAGACTTACGCAATTCTTCTTGAAGTTGCTCTGAAAAACAAACAGAAACAAAATCATGTCTTCGACAGAAGAACTAAAAGAAGTTGGGTTTATAGTAAACAATGCAGGAACCGTCCTTTCTATGAACAGCAACATCTCCCTTGCCTCATGCCTAGGGCACTGTCAGAAACCAGAAATGATATGTGATCAGGTGGTGGGTAGTGCTGGTACATTGTTATATTTGCTTTTGCTCAACCATTTAGTACTTCATGTAGCCAGATGAATGGATGCAAGGTGGGCAGAGTGAAAGAACAAAAGCTCTGAGAGATTCATTCCAAGGACGTCAGAGTTCCAAGTCCTTGCTGCTGCTGTGCATTTCCTCTCTCTTCTATATGCTGGTACCTGGGAGAGTTGTGTCTTTTCCATGGTGCTGATCTGTCCTCCTACTCTTTTACTTTTTTTTTTTTTTTTGAATTAAATGGGGTCTCACTTTATTGCCCAGGCTGGTCTCAAAATCCAGGGCTCAGGTGATCTGCCTGCCTCAGCCTCCTACAGTGCTGGGATTCAAGCCATGAGCCACCATACTCAGCCTCTTTTACCTTTTATTTGAAGTTCTTTCTCTTTTTGCACACGTTCCTTCTCCAGTTCCTTTACAGCAATTTCTCTTGTTTTCCGTTCAGACTCCTTTTCCCCTGACAGAATCTTCGTTTCCTTTTGGAGTCTGTTGATCCAGTAGATGCATACGGCGATGATTATCATCAGAAAAACCACAATGATAGGCAGGGCCACCACACAGGGAGACACACTGGGCATAAAGGATTCTGAAAAGGCAGCCAGAAATGTCCACTTAGTTTGAAACAGAACATCTGGGGTAAGAGTGCCCTTAGGAGCACAGCTGAAGGGCTCCTCAGCCACCTGCTCTTTTGCTTTCTCCCTCAGAAAACTCAGATGGAGAAAGTGATGCTGGCTCAGACCTGGCTGACACCTCAGTGGCTTCCAGGGCCAAGGCCCAGAGGTAGCAAACCAGTCACCATGGGAAGG